AGGTGGTGGCTTTGTTTACAGTTTGTTTTAGTTAATATTCAATTAAAATTTAAAATTCATTTTAGTATATTTAAACATTATTTTTATCTTATTAACATTTGCATTTTTGATTGATACTATTCCTAGTTCATAAAAGTTAATCAATTTTTGGAGGACTTCCAGGAGTCAGAGAATCAGCAGTGTCTGCTTCAGAACACATTTCTCACATTAAACTCTAGCTGGTGGCTGGTGTCGCGGCTCACTAGGCTAATCCTCCGCCTTGTGGCGCCGACACACCGGGTTCTAGTCCCGGTCGGGGCGCCAGATTCTGTCCCTGTTGTCCCTCTTCCAGGCTAGCTCTCTGCTGTGGCCAGGGAGTGCAGTGGAGGATGGCCCATGTGCTTGGGCCCTGCACTCCATGGGAGACCAGGATAAGTACCTGGCTCCTGCCATCGGGTCAGCGAGGTGTGCCGACCGCAGCGCGCCGGCTGCGGTGGCCATTGGAGGGTGAACCAACGGCAAAGGAAGACCTTTTTCTCTGTCTCTCTCTCACTGTCCACTCTGCCTGTCAAAAACAAAACAAAACAAAACAAAACAAAACAAAACAAAACAAAACAAAACAAAACCCTCTAACTGGTATGTGAGTGGTGGTGCAGAGAGAGAACCTAGAGTCACCATTTGTAGACAACACCCTAGCACCAAGAATATCAGTCATTCTGTATCCACACTGATGGCCTGCTCTCAATTTAAGTAAAAATGCAATTTTAAAAGTGGTAATGCAGGGACCGGCACCATGGCTCGCTTGGCTAATCCTCCACCTACAGCACTGGCATCCTATATGGGCACCGGTTCTAGTCTCAGCTGCTCTTCTTCCAGTCCAGCTCTCTGCTATGGCCCGGGAGGGCAGTGGAGGATGGCCCAAGTGCTTGGGCGCCTGTACCCACATGGGAGACCAGGAGGAAGCACCTGGCGCCTGGCTTCGGATTGGTGTAGCTCCAGCCATAGCGGCCGTTTGGGGGGTGAACCAACAAAAGGAAGACCTTTCTCTTTGTCTCTCTTTCTCACTGTCTAACTGTCAAAAAAAAAAAAGTGGTAATGCAAATACAGGTTCTTCTTGGCTTACAATGGTGTTATGTCTAATAAACCTGCTATAAGTTGATAATATCATAAATCCAGAATGCATTAATACAGCTAGCCTACTGAACCTGCTGGTTACAGTTGAGCATGCAGGAGTGGAGTCAGGACACAGAGCCCAGTAGGCTTTACCATGCCTGAGAACTGAGAGTTGTTGCTGTAGCCCAGCAATATCATACTGGGATATCACTAGCCTAGGAAAGATCAAAATTCAAAAACTGAAGTAACAGTTTCTACTGAGTATGTGTCTTTGAACTAACATAAAGCAAAAAAAAAAAATCAAAAATTGGACATTCGTATTGAGAGATTGCCTGAACAATTCAAAATAACCCTATATAAATTGAGAGCTGGCCATCAGTGTGGATGCAGAATGTTAATCCAGAGCACTAAGTGACTTTGCGAAGACCTTTGTATGAACAACCAGAAAAGAAAATGACAGTAGAGGCCAGCGCCGCGGCTCACTAGGCTAATCCTCTGCCTTGCAGCACCAGCACACCGGGTTCTAGTCCCGGTCGAGGTGCCGGATTCTGTCCCTGTTGCAGCTCTTCCAGGCCAGCTCTCTGCTGTGGCCAGGGAGTACAGTGGAAGATGGCCCAAGTGCTTGGGCCCTGCACCCCATGGGAGACCAGGATAAGTACCTGGCTCCTGCCATCGGATCAGCGCGGTGCGCCGGCCGCAGCGGCCATTGGAGGGTGAACCAACGGCAAAGGAAGACCTTTCTCTCTGTCTCTCTCTCTCTCATTGTCCACTCTGCCTGTAAAAAAAAAAAAAAAAAAAAAAAAAAAAAAAAAAAAAAAAAAGAAAATGTCAGTAGAAACCATTGCCTCTTCAAAGAATTGCTTTAACTAAGTCTCTAATTCAATTACGTGCTTGTGTGAAATTTGGTTTCAAGTTCAAGATCTAGCCTCATTGTCTACCTGGTGATAATTTTTCTGAATTATGAGAGGAAGTAGAACTAAGAATATTAACTGTCAGAAGTCATGACTGATATTCTTGGTGCTAGGGTGTTGTCTACAAATGGTGACCCTAGGTTCTTCTCTCTGCACCACCACTTGCTTACTTTTCCTCCATGAGCTGTGACTGCATTTTTCCATATACTTCCTCTTTCAAGGCTGTGATCATTGTTTGTTGTTCACTGTTGGGCCATCTCTAAGAATCTGTATCTTTCTCTGAATTTTGCAATTGTTCCCATTAGACATGTTCCATCCCCCTTTTCAGATGTTCCCCAGGTACCCTAGTTTATAAACATTTCCAGGGAAATGATGGTTCCTGTTACATGAGGCTCATTTATTATTTTTCTGTGCTCAGCTGTGAGTCCTAATTGAATGTTCCTTTATTGAAATTTTTTTGAAAAAAAAGTTAACAGTTATTTAAAATTATACAGATTTATGGAGGTATTATGTGATGTCTAATTAAATGTACACAGTGTGTAATGTCTAATCAGATTAAATATGTGTAAATATATTTATCCTTTTAAGAATTTAACATTTCGTTATGGTGAAAACATCCAAAAATTCCATCTTGTAGTTTATTTTTATGAGTGAAATTTGCGGTAAATTAACATTATCTGCTTTATTTTTTTTTTAAGATTTATTTATTTACTTGAAAGTCACTTACACACACACACACAGAGAGAGAGAGAGAGAGAGAGAGTCTTCCACCCGCTGGTTCACTCCCCAGATGGCTGCAATGGCCGGAGCTGTGCCAATCTGAAGCCAGGAGCCAGGAGCTTCTTCCAGATCTCCCACACAGGTACAGGTGCCCAAGACTTGGGCCCTCTTCCACTGCTTTCCCAGGCCATAGCAGAGAGCAGAATCAGAAGTGGAGGAGCCAGGACTTGAACCGGCGCTCATATGGGGTGCCGGCACTGCAGGCGGTGGCTTTATCCGCTATGCCACAGTACTGGCCCCTATCTACTTTCACTTTACTGTGCAATAAAAGCCCAGACTTTACTTGCGTGTAGCAATAGCCATCAATCAGGGAAGAGTTGATTGAAGGTTGCTTTTTATTGCTTACAGGGAGATGCAGAGTTACAGGCAAGCAGGCTGCTACCCTAGAAGCCTTGACTGGGCTGAAGGTAGAAAGCCCCTGAGATTCCTGGTACTCTGACCCACCATTTTACTGTGTCATAGGAACTGGCTCCTTAGCACTGGTCAAGGGGGGCGTTTTAACCCAAGTTTTCATTACTGAAGAGACAAGTCTTCGGGACTAGCCCTCCTTAACTGTCCTCTCCCACATGGTTCAAAGTCATCTTCACGTCCCATGTTTGTTAGAATTCTCCTTCCTGTTATGTTCCCTCCCAATGCTTCTGAGTGGACTCAGAGGAAGAGAAATGCAGGGGCAGAGCTTTGGCTGTTTCAGAACACATAGCTCTGCTCCTCCCTTGGTACATGAAGTCCTTTCACACTATTTCACCCATGCCAGCTCCTGCACTGCTTGTCGATGGTAGAAGACAGGATTAAAGTGGCAGGATTCTTTCCTGACACTGAAAACTTGGAGGGGATATTAACTTGGAATACCTTAAGTTTTTATTTATTTATTTATTTATTTATTGACAGGCAGAGTGGACAGTGAGAGAGAGAGACAGAGAGAAAGGTCTTCCTTTGCCGTTGGTTCACCCTCCAATGGCCGCTGCAGCTGGCGCGCTGCAGCTGGTGCACCGCGCTGATCCAATGGCAAGAGCCAGGTACTTCTCCTCGTCTCCCATGGGGTGCAGGGCCCAAGCACATGGGCCATCCTCCACTGCACTCCCTGGCCACAGCAGAGAGCTGGCTTGGAAGAGGGACAACAGGGACAGAATCTGGCGCCCTGACCGGGACTAGAATCTGGTGTGCCGGCGCCGCAAGGCAGAGGATTAACCTAGTGAGCCGTGACGCCGGCCATACCTTCAGTTTTTAAGTCATGAATACTTTGGCTGGGACAGATAATCCCCGAAATGTAAGACATAAGGTTTAGAGGTTGGAAAATAGAGGGTGAGCCTTGTCATGAAGGAGGCTAGCATCTATAGGCACAGTAACATCAGAACTGATGCCAGCAAATTAGAGCAATTATTTGGACTAGTACCTTCAACTCTACTTGCTGAGGGCCACTGACTTTATGACTCAATCAGAAGATTCCAGATAAATCCAGATATATACCTTCTTTCCAACTTTCTGTGGTCAGTTCTGAGATTGTATAAAAGCTATTCTACCCAGAAACAAGTCTGTTACAAGTTAGTTGTTTTGTATTTACATAACATCTTAATGCCAAAATAGTATCTGGATATTTATGCTAGTGGTAATTGAAGTGGGAAACTTGGTAACAGCTCATAGGATGCTAGAAATTTCCAAGTTGCATCTGATTTTTATAGTCTATGTTCCCATATTTTATTCCTGTTTCTGAATCTTCATAAACCATTATATTAAGGGACTTTTCTGGACCTTGTTCCATAGGTTCTTTGGACAAGTGCCAATTCTCATCCTGAGATGTGATGCCATACACTCCTTTTCCACACTGTGTGTGTTTCCTGGGGAAAATGGAGCTGGCTGTGGACTCTCAGTGTGTTTTCTGGTTACCTCCCCTGCACTGCCCCTGAGGCTTTTGTTCCTAGAGTGGGCTGTGCACATCCTGCTTCTGAGAACTGACCATACAATAAACAAAGATATAAACAAGGTCAAGTGCTTGGAAGTCTCTGGGCAGAGAAGAATACCTGATATGGTCTAGATGTTGGAGGCGGTGAAGGAAAAGTAGGGTGAAATGATGGAAGGAAACTGGCAGGCTCTATGTCTCTGTCTTGGCACGACTAGTTTCTCTTCAACTTCTTCCTGGACGTAGGGCTTGATGCCAGGGCCCCTGAGGCTTTCTTCATGAATAAAAGGAGGGACAACTGAATGGAGCTCGTATTTCAGGTTCTTGGAGACAGCCAGAATGATGCCTCTTGTCCCTCTGCTCCTGGTGAGCATCGTCTTCCCCGGCATCCAGGCTACACAACTGACGAGGTGTGAGCTGACTGAGAAGCTGAAGGAGCTGGATGGATACAGAGATATCTCTATGTCTGAGTGTGAGTTCCTTGCTCCTTTGTTTCATTGCATTCCTTATCTGTTTCCCTTCTCCAGTTAATTGTCTAAGGATATTGTATTCCCTGCTTATCTGTGTATGTGTGTTTCTAAATATTTACTTATTTATTTGGAGAGAGTTACACAGATTGAAGGAGAGCCAGAGAGAGAGAGGGAGGTCTTCCATTCTCTGGTTCACTCCCCAGTTGGCCGCAATGGCCGGATCTGTGCCGATCTGAAGCCAGGAGCCAGGACTTCTGGGTCTTACACACAGGTGCAGGGGCCCAAGGACTGGGGCCATCCTCCACTACTTTCCCAGGCCACAGCAGAGAGCTGGATCGGAAGTGGAGCAGCTGGGACTTGAACTGATGTCCATATGGGATGCCGGCACTGCAGGAGGTGACTTTACCCACTATGCCACAGTGCTGGCCCCCTCTTTTATTCCATTTGTTCTCTTCTTCAGTTGCTTAATCCTTTTTGGAACTCTGCATTATAAAAATACCCTAGATGTATTGCCATCTTTGGAGGTTTGCTGGAAAGGCTCATTCTCTCTAGGAACAACACTTCCTCATCTTTGCTGATTCTGGGCATCTCTGTCATATATATTTCTCATTTTCTCCACAGGGATATGTACCTTATTTCATACCAGCGGCCTTGACACAAAGATTACAGTCAATAACAATGGCAGCACAGAATATGGAATCTTCCAGATCAGCGATAAGCTGTGGTGTGTGAGCAAACAGAACCCTCAGTCGAAGAACATCTGTGACACCCCCTGTGAAAGTGAGCAGCCTCTGCCCTATTCCCTTGGGACCTTTCCCGGCGATGATCTCCTTTTATTGGTGTCAAACACACCTCTGGTTTCATTATTTGGTTGGACTCTACAAAAATCTTGGGACTTGAATTTATAGTGCTAAGTAAGAACCTGTTTGGAGTTTTCATGATCAAATCCCCAGATAGTCCCCACTGAAGTTCAAAGGCAAGCATTCTGAACTGAGAGTCTTGAAGTTTGATAATCTGTATTTTCATGGAAGTTGATGATTCTTCCAGAGATGTCCTAGGGAAGCTAAGGAAGCCCCTTCCTCGGGGGAAGGAACTATTGTATTTTTAAAAAATTCAAGATGAGAGATGAGAAGGAGAGAGGGAGAGGAAGTGGGAGAAGGAGAGGGAGAGGGGAGAGACAAAGAGATATCTCATCTCCCAGTTCACTCTCCAAGTTCCTGCAACAGCTGGGACTGGGCTAGGCCAAAGCCAAGAGCCTGAAACTCACTATAGGTAAGGACCTGAACACTTGAGCCAGCACCTGTTACCTTTCAGAGTGCACAGTAGCAGGAAGCCGGGTCAGAAATGGGTTGGAGACTCAAATACAAGCACATCTATATAGAATGTGGGCTTCATCACTGCTACACCAAATGTCTTATCCCCACAAGAGGCATTCACGTATCGGTCTTCTCATGTAGAAAGATGATAAGCATAAGCCTTCAATTTAAAGACGACCCATACCCACTGGGTCTAGGGAGTAGGGGCACCCACAACCTTTCTGGGTAACACCTTTAAGCTCTTTGGTTTCTTTCCCTGAAACTCCTGCCAGATTTCTTGGATGATAACCTTACTGATGATGTAAAGTGTGCCATGAAGATCCTGGATAAAGAAGGGATTGACCACTGGTAAATTCTCATTTTTTTTTTTTACTTTGTCCTTCTCTCTCCTTCCTCTTACCCCTTTGGCCCAGTGCCACTTTCTTCTCTCCTTATCATTTAATACAGAACATAATATCCAAAACAAAATGCCTCTCGCAGACTCAGCTTTTCATTTTTAAGTTTCCTGTTTGATCTCATAGCTTCCAGGTCTCTAATGGTGGGCTGAGACCCAGACCTCCCTTTACCTGGCTTTGGACATACAATTCTGGCATCTAGTCTCATCTCCTACTTCAAGCCCTTTGTATCATTGCACTTTTTTTTGTTTTAATTTTAATTAGTTTCTAACAGATTCACTGTGATTTGTAGGTACAGTTCTAAGAACATAATGATATTCCCTCTTCACTCCCTCCTTTTTCCCCCCTTCTTCCCATCCTCATTCCTTCTCCTTTTCTTTTTGTTTTTTAGATTTTTCAGATAACATATTTTAAAGTTACATTACAATAAAAAGGCTTAATACTTCATAGAACTAGATGTTTAACAACTGAAAAGCAAAAAGACCCTAGGTTAGCAGGGAATATGCACAATGGCTACAAACAATAATTGAATGGAAAAAATGACCATTTCACAGAGACAGTAAATTTTAAAGTAATCACAAATCGTTAAACCATGGTAGTTTTTTTTTTTGACAGGCAGAGTGGACAGTGAGAGAGAGAGACAGAGAGAAAGGTCCTCCTTTACCGATGGTTCACCCTCCAATGGCCGCTGTGGCTGGCACACCGTGCTAATCCGAAGCCAGGAGCCAGGAACTTCTCCTGGTCTCCGATGTGGGTGCAGGGCCCAAGAACTTGGGCCATCCTCCACTGCACTCCCTTGCCACAGAAGAGAGCTGGCCTGGAAGAGGGGCAACCGGGACAGAATCTGGTGCCCTGATTGGGACTAGAACCCGGTGTGCCGGCGCCGCAAAGTGGAGGATTAGCCTATTGAGCCACGGCGCTGGCTTAAACCACGGTAGTTTAACATTCTTTTTTTAGTAAGTATTTTAATTTTTTTAATTTGACAGATAGAGTTAGACAGTGAGAGAGAGAGAGACAGAGAGAAGGGTCTTCCTTCCATTGGATCACCCCCAAAATGGCTGCTACGGCTGGAACTACGCTGATCCGAAGCCAGGAGCCAGGTGCTTCTTCCTGGTCTCCTAGGCGGGTGCAGGGGCCCAAGTACCTGGGCCATCCTCCAGTGCTATCCCAGGCCACAGCAGAGAGCTGGACTGGAAGAGGAGCAACCAGGATTAGAACCTGGCGCCCATATGGGATGCCGGCACTGCAGGCAGAGGATTAACCAAGTGAGCCATGGTGCCGGCCCCAGTTTAACATTCTTAACCATTGGTTTGACAGAAGTATAAAACAAAATTTTACAAAACCATATTTTTACTAATACTGATACATATAGACATTTCTTTCCTTCTACTTTTTTGTTTGCTTTTTAAATTTTAGCTCCCACATATAAGAGAAAAGCATGCAACATTTGTCTCTCTGGGTCTGGCTTATTTCACTGAACATGATATCCTCCTGTTGTGTGCATTTTGCTGCAAATGATAGAATTTCGTTCTTTTTTTAAATAGATGAATAATATTCATTGTGTATGTGTACCACATTTTCTTTTATCCATTCATCTGATGATGGGTACTTTGGTTGATTCCAAATTTTGGCTATTGTGAACAGTGCTGCTATAGACATGGTGGTGTAGGTATCTCTTAGATACATTGTGTTCAGGTCTTTTGGGTATATGCCCAGTTGAGGGACTGCTGGATCACATGGCAAGTCTATTTCTAGTTTTTAGAGAAATGCCCACATTGTTGTCCGCAGTGTCTGCACACACTAATTTACAGTCCCACCAATAGGTGTATACAGGTTCTCCTTTGTCTACAACCTTGTCAGGGTTAGCTACTCTCTGCTTTGCACACCTTTTCTAGTTGTACACTTTTCTTGGGTTTTTAACAGAGACTACTCCACTAGATGGCTCAGAGCACCACTTGGCTAGGCAAATCTTTTATCCATTATCACCCACACTCTTTCAACTCAGCCCTTCTGAGAATGAGGCTAGATGGAAATTTCCCCCTAAGATGCAGATAACCAACTTACCTTGTCCCTTTCTCCATTATCAGGTTGGCACATAAACCACTCTGCTCTGAGAACCTGGAACAGTGGGTCTGTAAGAAGTGAGCTCCTGCTGTCTTTGCCGCTCCTGCCACCTATGCTCCTGGAACTCCACTTCCCTAATGCTACCTCAGTTGGCCTCTTTTCTCCCCTGCCCTCCCCCCAAAGCTGATTTGTCCCTGATCCCTGAGCATTGTAGTGTACCACTGGACTCTTTCGAACTCTTCTCCAATGATGTGTGATTGGTGCACTGGACTTCAGACTACAGCTAAGTGCCCTTGATGGCATTCTTACTACAGCAGCAGATCCCACCTCTGTACTGAATAAAGGGCCTCATATGGAGTGGTCCGTTGTATTTTCTTCTTTGAGGGAAGGGAGGAAACGGGGTAAATGGGTGGTCACCAAGGACACAGGACAAGGTCACCGTTCATCTCTCTTGAAGACCTTACCAGGGAGAGGAGCAGTTTGCTTTCTGCACCACTTCAACGAACTTTTATTGATTACCCAGTGTGTTCGAGGAACAATAGAGGGATCCAAATTTGCTAAAATGTCAAATTCTTGCTTCCTCAAGGACTAATGGGGGAGATAAGAAAGCTGTTGATGGTTATAAAGAATAGTATCATAAGCATCATGGGAGTGGTAAAATGTGCCATGATCCTTCCTAAGAGGAAACATACTTCATGTTCATTGGAGAAGTGGAAAAAGGGATGAATAAGGGATTCATGAACGAGGTAAAATTTGAGCTGGTTTTGAAGTGTGGGTGAGATTTTGACAGGTGTGGGATGGGAAAGGAACAGGAGGGGCAGGGGCACCCCAAATCCTGAACTGGTGGCTTGAGAGAGTTGAGGTGTTTCCTTATCCTCATGACAAACTGTGGAAGGAACTCTTTCTGGAAACCAGGGATAGAACAGGGACCTTATACTCAGCTCAATAATTTTTTAAGAATCTGTGCAGTTGGAGCTGTGCTCTGGTGCAGCAGGTTAAAGCCCCGGCCTGTGGCTCCTGCATCCCATATGGGCTCCGGTTTGACTCCTGGCTGTTCCACTTCTGATCGAGCTCTCTGTTATCACCTGGGAAAGCAGTAGAAGATGGCCTAAGTCCCTGGGCCTCTGCACCTGCATGAGAGACCTGGAAGAAGCTCCAGGCTTCAGATCAGCTCAGCTCTGGCTGTTGCGGCCATCTGGGGAGTGAACCAGTGGATGGAAGACCTCTTTCTCTCTCTGTGGCTTTACCTCTCTCTGTAACTATATCTTTGGCCAAAATGGTTTGGTAGGTTTGCTGGTCCTTTGCTAGGTTGAGTTACACTTTGTGCATAGATGAAAGTAATAGGAGAGGAAGAGTGGGAAGAGGATAATAGAAAGTATAATAATGAAAGGAAAAAGCAGTAAGTATAGAAATGGCTAGTGAGGGCCTGAGGATATATATTTTTTTTTTTGCAGACCTGGGACCCTGTGAATGGGTGCCACCTTCTCTGTGGGACTGTCTTCCTTTTCCTTGACTGAGTGTGTGGTAATGGAGGAAGAGAAAACAAGGCCTCTGGAAAGAGATGAATAATGAGACAGCTTAAACTGTTCAACTGGATTATGGTTTGGTTAAATTTTAGAATCTACTTAGGCATAGCTGTGATACGTTAAGTGCTCAGAAGATAAAATTGAGCTGTTTACTTAGTATAGGGTGCATCTTATGAGTATAAAGTAAACAGAAAGTAGATCATTGTAAAAATTAAGAGAGGGAATATGAAGGGGACGAGGAAGAAGGGTGGGAGTGTGGGTGGGAGGAAAGTAGGGTGGGAAGCGTCTGTATATTTTACCAGGTATCTGTATACATGAAATACATGAAATTTGTTCACTTTAAAGAAATAAAATATTGAAAAAAGAAAAAACCTTACATTTGTTTAATCACTAATGAGTTTGAGTATCTTTCCATATATTCTTTTTTAAAAGATTTATTTATTTAGTTGAAACTCAGAGTTACACAGAGAGAGAACAAGCAGCAGAGAGAGAGAGAGAGAGAGAGGTCTTCCATTTGCTTGTTCACTCCCCACATGGCCACAAAAGCCGGAGCTGTGCTGATCCAAAGCCAGGAGCCAAGAGCTTCCCCTGGGTCTCCCACACAGGTGCAGGGGCCCAAGGACTCGGTGCATCTTCTACTGCCTTCCCAGGCCATAGCAGAGAGCTGGATTAGAAGTGGAGCAGCTGGGACTTGAACCGGCGCCCATATGAGATATTGGCATTGCAGGCAGCAGCTTTAACTGCTATGTCACAGTGCTGGCTCCATATATTCTTCAGTTATGTGAGTTTTCTCTTGCATATATACCACTGTTTATCCTTTGTCTGTTTTCCCCTTTGTTGTTTTGGCATTCTTTTGCATTTGAGTTTTAGGGCTCATCTTTTGTCAGTTTTAGTCATTACAAATATCTTCTGCTCCACCATATATATATATATATATATATATATATATATATATATATATGGTTTCCAAAAATTTATGGAAATCATGTATTATGAAAAACTCTGTGTAGATTTAAATATTTCCTTTGTACCCAAATAAACTTGTACTAACTTGTTGTAACATGGCTGAAAAGATGCAGTTTGAGGCACTAAGAAGGATGAGGTAAAAGAACAACAAATATGATTCTTTCATAATGTCAGAATAAGGAAAAGCTTGATAGTTGTAAAAAGGACGAAGTATTATTTATATTACTTATGGTGGTAATCGTTCAATTTTTTAAAAAGAGATTTGAGGCAAAAATATGATGAAAAGTTAAATGTGAAATCTAATAACAGGGAAAAAGGACATCAGTTTGAAAAGACTCTTTATTAGAATAACATAAATTCTAGCAAAATTGGAACAAGAGCAAACATCAAATTTATGGTGAAGGTTGGAGACAATGGTGAAGTAATTAATACTTTATAAGTTTATGGAGATAATGTCTCAGAAAAGCGGTTTGCAAATGAATAACTCGTTTTGAGGAGTGACAAGGGTGATGTTGAAGGAAAAGCCTGTTTTTTGTAATAAAAAGACAGGAATCTCACAGTGGCAGACCATCCACATCCGTTTTCAAGGAAAAAATTAGTCCAATTCATTCCCTCATTGAAGAGGATCAATGATTTACAGGAGAAACAATAACCAATGCCACAAACATCTTAGTTGGTCCAGCTTACATAAATCTGAAAAGTTAAAGTTGAGCAAACTTTCTGCTCAGTGGATACCAGAACAGTTGTGTTTGAAACTGCTGCAGAGATCAGAGCTTTCAATGGAAATTTCTAAGAAATGGAATCAGAATGCTGAAGCATTTTTTTACAAAGAACTGGAACAGAAGATGAAACATAGTTTTACCAGGGTGTTCTCAAAGACAGAACACAACCAAAGCAATGGCTACAAAGAGGTGGAAGTGGTCAGCCAAAACAAGACCAGACCAGTCAAGAGCAAAGGTCATGGCAATAGAGTTTCTGGAAGCTCTAAGAATGTTAACCCCTGCTATTAGGAGACTGAGAAAATTGGCCAAAACTTTAGCAGAAATGTGCTTAGAAAAGTTTCACCAGATTCCTTCTCTACCATGACAATGCTCCCATTCTTCTCATCAAGTAAGGGTCATTTTGCAGTTTTTTGATGTGAAATCTTTAAGCATGTACCAGTGAAAATTTGGATCCTTCTGATTTCTTTTTTTTAGACTTATTTTATTTATTTGAAAGACAGAGTTACACAGAGAGGTAGAGACAGAGAGAGGTCTTCCATCCGCTGGTTCACTCCTCAATTGGCTGCAATTGCTGGAGCTGTGTTGATCCGAAGCCAGGAGCCAGGAGCTTCTTCCAGGTCTCCCATGTGGGTGCAGGGGCCCAAGGATTTGGGCCATCTTCCACTGCTTTCCAGGCCATAGCAGAGAGCTGGATCAGAAGTGGAGTAGTCGGGTCTTGAACCAGTGCCCATATGGGATGCCAGTGCTTCAGGCCAGGGTGTTAACCCACTGTACCACAGCACCAGACCCATCTGATTTCTTTTTCTTCTTATTTATAAAACATATTTTAAAAGATCACCTTTTTAAAAAAATAATTTTAAAACCTCTATAAAGGGAACATACTTCACATATGCATTTTTTAAAAGATAGATTTCTTTATTTTATTTTATTTTTTCCCCAAAGAAAACTTTTAATTCAGGAATACAAACTTTGTGCATTTCATAAATACAACTTTAGGAACACAGTGATTCTTCCCACCGTACCTGCCCTCCCACCCACACTCCCACCCCTATTCTTCCTACCTCTCCTATTCAAAGTCTCACTTTTTAACCAAGATATATCTTGAATTAACTTTATACATGAAGATTATACTAAGTAAGGAGTTAAACAGATTGTATGAAAAAAACCCTGGTCCTCAACAGTTGAGATAAGGGCTGTTCAATGTTGTATCTTGAAGTTAATTTCACTTCTTTTTTTAAAACATTCTTCTTTTGAGAAACAATAAACTTAAAGAATCCAAGAATTATACATCTTTTGAGAGCACTTAGACACAACTATGAGACATAAGAATATCCTCCGCTTAATACACTAAAATGAAGGAAATCTTTGAGAACACGTTTTACTATTAACTCTCATAATACAACTCTTTGAGGACAGAGGTCCTGCATAGGAAGTTACTGTCATTAATTTAACAATTAACACTCTTACGTATGACCTCAGTGATCACCTGAGGCTCTTGACTTGAGCTGCCTAGGCTATGGAAGCCCCTCCTCCATTTTATTTTTTTTAAGTTTTTAAGGATTTTATTCAGTATGAGTGTTTTTAAATTTTTTTATGGAAGACTTTTGATTCCATAAACTCGGTAAGTGTTTAGACAAGGCCATAGGCAAAATGGAAGTTCTCTCCTTCCTTCAGAGAAAAGTTCATCATTCTTTGATGACAACTTCTTTCCACTGGGATCTCACCCACTGAGGTCCTTCATGTAGGACACTTTTCGCCACAGTGTCTTGGTTTTCCATGACTGAACTGCTCTCTTGGGCTTTTCAGCCAGACCAGAATTCCTTAAGGGCTGGCTCTGGGGTCAGAGTACTACTTAAGGTGATTGCCATTCTATGAGCCTGCTGTATGGACTTCTCCTCATGTTGGAGCATTCACTCCTTTTTAATTGTATCTGTTATTATTATCAAACACTTAATCCTATGCTATTATTGCCACCCAGCTTAAGGGGTTTTGGGGTCCCATGGCAAGTTTTAAAACTGTACCCTTAGAAGTAAGTCCATAGGAGTGTATCCAGAACTATACAGCTTTACAGCTACAAACTTCATACACTTCATAATTACAACTTTAGGAACATGATTGTACTTCCCACCATGCCTGCCTTCAC